CCACCCGAATTCATCTTAATCGTATAAACCCAATGACTGCCAACTGTAGGAGTATCCGGCGCAGGATGGTAAACAACGTCCCAGGTGTGATTCGCATGGAGGGCGTCAAATTCAGTCCCCATCGCCTCCTCCCACCGGCGTTCACCTTGTGCATCTTTATAGCGAGTTGGAGCAACTAAGGTGTCAACACCCAGCGCCACATAATCTTCAAAATGCGGTGGTGGAATCCCTTTAGTTAAACGAAGAGAGCATCGAGGTTGTGGGGCCGAAGAAGAGAAATCAGCATCCGGGGATGCAAGGCCGCTTGAAGTAGTCCCAGGGGAGCTTGATGAAGCACTAGAAGCTGTCGTGGATGAAGTTGCCGGTGAAGCACCAGGGGAGTACGGATCGTCAGGGGGGAAGTGGGGAAATATATCATCAGCAGGCATGTCATCATATGGGAACATGGGTAGAGTACTAGACAAGGGGAACAAGGACTCGGAAGCAGTGGCGGAGGCAGGATTTGAAACTACTCCTGTCCTATTTTCGTATTATAAATATATAAATATTTAATGAATATAATTAAATTAATAATATCTAAATAATATATTTTCATATATAAAAATAACTACTATTACAATCGGTATTTTCATAAACAACCATGACGAGTTTTCATATTCGAAAGAAACACACAATACATTATTTGTCTACACACTTAAGTAAGTCCTTTTCAATGGATTTCACTAAACAACCATTAGCAAACTGGTCGTGAGTTCGACTTCAAAGTTCGTTCTTCAGATAGCTCAAAGCTGAAAATATTTTATCGACACTTGCCATCAAACTAGTGGAATCGGCGCTGCCACTAAACGTCTTCAAGATTGCTTGCAAATAATCGAATAGGCATATAAAGAAAAGAGATCTATTCCAATTGAGATTTCGTTTATTGTATAATAATTAATTTATTGTCAATTTATGATAAATAATGAGTTGTGATATAGTAACGAAGTACAATAGTGTTGTGTTCAATCCTTCGTATAAACATATATGAAGTATTTTCGTTCCTCCCAAAATTTACCCCTATCCCGGGACAATGCTTAATAGGGCTGCCTCCGCCACTGCTCGGAAGTAGACTCAGGAGCAAAAAATTTCATGTTTTCAAAAAACACCACAGTACTTGCTACTCGAATATGTTGAGCTACAGGATCAAAACACATATATCCTTTATGTACATCACTATAACCCATAAAAGCACACTTCGCAGTTCGGGATGTCAACTTAGTACGTTCCGGTTTAGGAAGCAGAACAAAGCATAGACAACCAAACACACGAAGACGGGAATAGTCTGGATGACGGGCAAACAGTTTGAAAAACAGACTTTCATTACCAAGAACCGGAGTGATTTGATAATTGATCAAACGAACAGCCGTGACAACAGCCTCAGGCCAGAACCTAGACGGGACAGAATAAGCTAACAATAAGGCTATAGTTAACTCGACCACATGTCTATTTTTGCGCTCGACGAGACCATTTTGCTGAGAAATACTAGGACAAGATTTTTTACTCAAAATACCACGAGAGCGATAAACTTCACGCAAAGGAAAGGAACTAAATTCTCCTCCGGGATCAGAATGAATAATTTTCACTGGTCGGCCAAATTGAGTTTGAATCATGTTCAGAAATTCAATGGCAATATCACGGAGATCAGATTTGAGACGAAGTAGATAAATCCAGGTATAGCGAGTGGCATGGTCTATGAAAAGGGATATATATCGGAATCCATGACGAGAGACAGTGGGAGCAGGACCCCATAGATCAGTATGAATCATGAAACGGTTCCTGAATAACAGTAGTACTAGAAGGATAAGAAATACTAGCTGTTTTAGCTTCAACGCAGTAGTACATGAATGAAAATCAGGCATACTAACACTTTTTTTACCCAGCAAAGATTTTTTGAACATCAAAGAAAGACGAAGAGAGTGGGGATGCCCCAGCCGGGCATGCCAAAATTCCTACGACTCATTGGAAGCACTAGAAACAGCAGCATAAGAATTAGATGACACAGGACTACTGACAGACCTATTCAACGAACTACAGATCACAGGAGAGACTGGATGCCCATGAAGTTCCTCGAGATGAAAAATCCTGCCTTGCTTACTCCCCCTTCCGATCGGCCTCCCCGTCTTCGAATCCTGTACAAGACAGCCAGACGGTGCAAACGATACAATATAACTTTGCTCAGTAAGTTGCCCAACAGATACTAAATTAGGAACAAGAGCTGGCACATGTAACGTATTATGTAAAGTCATTCCCTTCATCTCTACGTCACCTATGCCATTAACTTTCAGCTTAGTTCCATTAGCAACCATTAGTTGCATATTGAGCACCGGAGACACATTGTTTAAAGTATGCGAATCATGGGTCATATGGTTATAACATGCAGAATCAAGCAACCAAGGGGAATGAGTTTTACCCATTCCATTAAGTGTAGCAAAGGCGGCATTGATTGCCGAATTGAAAATCTGCTCCACGGCTGCTATAGTTACTCCACCAGCAGCAGGACCTACATCCCCAACATTCCCCGCACGAGACCCATGATGATTTCCTTTGCTGCTGCTAGCTTCGCCCAACATTCGTGGAGCACGTCCACCTAACCTCCAATTATCATGTGCACCTGACCTCCAATTATCACGCCAACTATCACGTGAAGAACCCTCTCGCCAGCTACTTCCATCATCAGCCGGGTATGTTCCAAAAGCAGACCGATCGGGCGATCACTATGTTCTAAACGTGGGGGATAATATCCAGAGTTCCCTCTAGGCAGTAGACCTCCTTCACGAGCTGCATTCCTCTCACGAGTTCGACAATTAAGGATGATGTGCCCCATACGTTTACAATAAACGAAAAAATTCCTCCTAACCATAATGCTTTTGCACATGTCCTTTTTCTCGGCAATGATGACACTCTAAATCAGATATGGGAATCCTTCGTTGAAATTGTGGTCGATCCACATCATAGACAGGATTATCATGACTTGCGTCAACAGCTCCTTGCGCGACAGCGGCAGCCGCTAATGATTCCCCCTCTCCAGGTCGCAAGTCTATAGTTGCTTGTGTTCTCAAGCGGATCTCTTCTCTCATTAGAGTCCCCAACACCTGATAGACCATTGATTGCACATGTTTTTACCCCTCTTCTTGAGCCGTTTGAGATGTCGATTCTCGCGTTTTAGGCCGATTTCACGCTAGGTTGTTCTTGTTTGTGATGTTTCAGGTCCTCGTACGTGAATGAAGGTTTAGGAACGAGTTCGGGGTCGATTGGACGAAGTTTGGACGTTTGGGGAGAAGCTGAGAAGCCACACGGGCATGCCTAAAGGCAACACGGGCGTGTAGGAGACCCATTGTGGCTGTGTGAAGGTTCGACAAAAGCCACACAGGCAGCCTGGTCACTCACACGGCCGTGTGGCTCGTGGCCGTGTAGGATGCCCGAGTCACTTATCAAAACGCCGTGGTTTGCACAACTCACACGGGCAGCTGGGGATGTCACACGGCCGTGTGGCCTGGCTGTGTGAGTCGGGATTTTTTGGTTTTTAAGCCAATTTCCAGTCACAAGTGAGGAGTTCGGAGTTTTAGAGAAAGAAAGCGATTCCTAGAGAGAGAGAGCGACGAACCAGAGTTCCCAAGTGCCCTAGCTTGATCTTCATCACCATTGGAGCTCAACCCACACTTGGAGAAGTGCCGATTGACGACCAGGAGCAGTTTCTCATCCTTCACAGCATGATTCACTACAGGAAAACCGGTTTTTATTCACGGTATCTTATTCACGGGAATTGTTCCTGTACTTAGAAGTACACTAATAATCACAGGAAAAATTCCTGTAATTGATTGTATCGTTCTAATCACGGGAATTAATTTAACAACTTTTAGACTTAATTTCCCGTGACTAGTCGTTAGTCACGGTTAATTACCATGAACAATGCAACAATCTAAATTGTAAATAAAAAATAATATGAATTAAAAAATTGGTGAAATAAATTCAGCTCCAAATCCCAAATTCAGCTCCCTAATAAATGTGGCCGATGCTCTTTCCTTCCAAATTTTCGTATGAAAGAAGTTGGAGTCCTAATAAATCACTAAATGGGTAAAAAAAATGGGCACGTTAAATTGGAGAATGGAGACTGCATTTCCCCCAATTCGTTTTCTAATGAAAATTGGTTTCCCAAAAAAATTGATATCAATCTCCCGCACTCTGTCAATCTCCCGCATTTTCTTCCCGCCACTAAAATTTTGATGGCGCCAAACCCAAATTTTTAGGCTCCAAATCCAAAATCTTTCGCTCCCGCAAAGCCTAAAATTGGGCTCCCGCATTTTATACCTGATAAAAACGAAAGCTTTGCCAAGATTTTAGCTTTCCCACTCTCTGCGTCTCCAATAATAAAAAAAACTCTCTGCCTTCCCAACTTTCTCCGTTCCCATCTGTTTGTTCTGTATCACAACCATGTCGATCTCGTCATCCCCGTTTTCTTTCTCCCTTTGTAGTTAAAATCTCTTCTTTTACCGACACACTCATTCCATTCCAAATTTCTTCCGGCTGTCAATCCACGCACTGAAGAGCACACTCGACCGCCTGCAACTGAGGTATGTTCCTATTCAAATATCTGGTTTTCTTTGAAATCAATTCCTCCCTCCCTCCCTCCCCTTCTCTTTGAAATCGATTGGTAATGAACAAAGAATAAATTCCATTTTGCACTCAGTTCTTATATTTGTTCTATTTCGCAAAACATTAGGTTTCTATTTTGAGCAACAAGATCGTGAGGTACATAATGCATTTATTTGATCTCTTGATTTATTAACTAGTTTATTGATTTTCTGGTATGTAGTTATCGTTACCCTCTTGTAATTGAATAGAGAATGAAGGCTGGTCAGAATCTTAAAGGGAACCGTAGTCAGAATCCTAAGGTGAAGGGTAGTCAAAACCTTCACAAAACTGCAGCAAAATATGTTGCTCCTGGCTCACTTGGGAGGAGGGTTCCAAATCGACCAACATCTTTCTCCACTTTAACATCTTCCTCAGATGTGGCTTCACAATCTCTTCCCATGCCACAAGCAACACCTAGTACGTACCTTGTATAATTGGTTTCACATTGTTCAATTTTGATGTAAACTACTAACTCTTGACTCTTTTTTGCAGCTCCTAAAAGGGCAAGAGAACCCACTGCTGTAACTGATGGTATGCTGCAAAGGGAAGGAGAACCCCCTATTGTACCTGATAACATGCCACAAAAGCAAAGAGAACTCCCAGTTGACAGAAATAGGCCTTTACCTGCTGAGCAACCGGTTATGGAAGATGCACAGGTGGCTGCTAATGAAGAATCTACTGATAGAGGCAAGTTTTTATTTAGTGAAGTTGATTTGTAAATCCTATTTCATTTCTGTATGTCCAAAATTTTCTTTGTTAGTTTATTGTTGGATTGAACATGCCAATTTTGTTGATTTTTTGCTGCTGGTTTTTGCTACAGTAAGACAGAAGAATGTACGAGGTATCAGCATTTGCAAGGCGGTTGCTAGACTTAGGCGTGGTGAGAAGCTGCCTATTGCCTTCTACAACAATCGTGGTGCTGGGCCAAATAGAGCAACCCGGTCAAGCTTTATTGGACTGGTTGTTCGAAATCCCCAAATCTGTTCATTCAAATCAAGAAGATGGAAGTCGAAGAGTCGGGCAGAACTTGAGCATATGTGGGCTGCAGTTACGGTAAGGAATAATATGCAATTGTGTCTTGTGATTCCATTCTATCCATGTTATTCATGTAATTAATGTTAATGATACAATGGTTGTAGGAATATTTCTATAATCCCCATATGCTATTGTGGCGCGGAGGAGTGGCTGCTGTGGTGCGAAGGAGTGACTGCTTTCGCGCGGAGGAGCTGCTTCTGTGGAGCAGAGCGGAGCTGCTGTCTGAATGTGAACAATTTCAGAAAATCCAGTTGTGTTGTGCTACTCCTCCCTCAGCATATAATGTGTGCAGAACAAGTTCAGTAGTTTATGGTATTTCTGTTGTGTTTTAGGAAATGGCACCAAGTAAAACTTGGATGCTTGTGGACAATAGGCTCAGTGAGGATTATAAGAACGGAGTTACAGAATTTTTAGACTATGCATTTCAAAGGAATAAGGGCAGGTGTGAGATTAGATGTCCATGTGTGAAGTGTTGCAATGGAAAGTCAGGAACACGTGAGACCGTAACTGCACATTTGCTCATTTATGGAATGGTCCAAAACTATACATTTTGGTGCCACCATGGAGAAAGGTCGGGCAAGGCATTTGGTCCAGCATTCGAAAATGTCAACGGTGCAGATGAGAATGAGTATGAGCATGAGAATGAGCAGGAGAATGAAATGCATCAGGTTTTGAGAGATTTGTATCCTAATATTGACATCAGTGAAGAAGAAATTGATATGGATTCTGAGGAAGCATACAATGAGTCACCAAATGATGAAGCAGAAAAGTTCTATAGACTGTTAAATGACTCTGAGCAACCTGTTTATGATGGTTGTAAAAGTTCAAAGTTATCAACTATAGTGAAGCTTCTTCACATAAAGACTCTTGGAAGATGGAGTAATGAGTCATTTAACATGTTGCTCAAGCTTATGAAAGAAGATCTGTTACCTGAGGGTTCATCCTTGCCAGATTCTTATTATGAATAAAAAAAAAATAATAAAGGATCTCGGCCTTTCATACACAAAAATTGATGCTTGTGAGCATAGTTGTATGCTGTTTTGGAAGGACGATGCACATCGTGATGATTGCAAGGTGTGTCATGCATCTAGATGGAAAGTTGACAAACGTAGTGGGGAAGTCATGACTAAAGTCAACGGGAAGAAGCTGCAACCATTTTTCGAGTAAGATTTTTATTATGTTTTAACCATTTTCCGAGAACGATTTTCAAATTTTAACCATCTCTTTGTTTTTAACTATCTTTGTAGAGAATTTAGTTATCTTTGTGAGCATGATTTGTTGGGAGGAAACTACAAGGAGGACGATGCAAGCTTCATTTCTTGGTTCAGGCAAAAAGTATGCTTTTTTCTTCTAATTACTATCAAAGACTTGGTAATTCAATTTATGTCATGAAAATGTTCTAAAGCGGGTTGAATCTTTATTGCAGGTTGCAAATTCCTATGAACCTAACAAGAGTAAGAGATTGGATGACCTATTGTCACTATCACGAGGACCTGCTCAAAGTGTCAAGTGCTTTACAGGTTATGTCCTAAATGGTTTTCGTTTTCACACAAAGGATTATGACAAAAATTTGAGGACTCAAAATAACGGAGTCGTTGTAGTTGGCGATGATGGAGTTGATCTGAATGCTATAGACTACTATGGGGTTTTAAGAGAGGTCATTGAGTTAAAATTTCTTGGAGGAAGATCATTAGCTTTGTTTAGGTGTGATTGGTGTGATGTCTATGATAAGACAAAAGGGCTGAAAGTGGATGAACATGGGTTTGTGAGTGTCAACCTGAATAGAATGTTGAAGACAAATGAGCCATTTGTCCTTGCAAGTCAAGTATCCCAGGTATTTTATGCAGAAGACAATGTTAATAAGAATTGGCACTTAGCTGTAAAGGTGCCACCTCGAGCCATGGATGTGTTGCTAAGTGAAATGGTTCAGCCTATAGATTGGTATGGTTTCTCTTTTTTTTTTGTTGAATCTCTCCTTTTGGAAAGTGATTTTTGTTGTCTTATTGTTTCTAACATTAAAATTTCAATTGTCTTCCTTTTGTGTTGTCATACAAGACTGTTCTGTTCGGCCAAGTTTGTCATTATTGAAGATTCTGGAAAGGGACTGTTCTGTTTGGGTTAGTATCTTTCATCAAAGCCCTTATTATAGTGAACTAAAATTGATCGATGAATTTTGTATACCGTCTTGGTTGTTCTGTTTGGGTTAGTATCTTTCATCAAAGCTCTCATTATAGTGAACTAACATAAATGGATGGATTTGTATGCAGTTGGCTGTTCTGTTTGGGTTAGTATGCTTCATCAAAGCTCTCATTATAGTGAACTAAGATAGATTATGGATCTGTATGCAATCTTGGCTGTTCTTGTTTACTGCAATTTCCCTTTTAGTATGCTCAGATGTTAGACAATGAATCATATGTCTATAGTAGTATGTAGGGTTCTTCTAACTTCATAGCCTAGTTATTGGATACCATATCATGATTCTGATTCATTATTGGTGCATGACTAGAATGAGGATAAATAGTTCAAATGATATAGCTCCTTTCACTTTTCAGGTTCATTACTCTTTTTGTTGGTGGTGATGAGATTTTGGGGTGATGTTCATGGATACTCTCTCACAGCAAGCTCCAAGAAGACGGTGGTCTACACAGCAAGCTCTAAACCTATATAAGTAGATTGTAATAGATATATAGAATCACTTGTAGGTAAGATATTATTCTATTTACACTTATTATTGTTGGCAGGAAACTTTAATATAACTGATTTTCATAATTATTGTGTTGTATCTAGTCATTGAAACATACTGTGACTGATTGGTGGTTTGTATGTAGTCAGCTGTAAATACTATGACCGATGCTTCGTAATTAGTCTTGGGAAAATACAGTGACCAGTGATTTGTAATTTGGCACAGAAAATACCGTGTACAGTAGTTTGTATGTAGTCACAGGAAATACAATGACTAGTTATTGATATTTTTAATCACGGGAAAACTAGTCACTACAGGTATTAAATATCGTGATTAGTTATTGAGATCTAGTCACGGGAATCGATTTTATCACAGTAAATACCGTGATTAGTGATTGACATCTAGATACGGGAATTGATTTTGCCACAGTAAATACCGTGATTAGTGATTGATATCTAGTCACGGTAATCAATTTTGCTACGGTAAATACCGTCATTAGTGATTGACATCTAGTCACGGTAAACAATTTTGCTACGGTAAATACTGTGTCAAAAGGTGAACTTCCCGTCTTTAAATGATTTTTTTTCTTGGTTTTGTGCTCCAATTTAATGCATTAGTCACCCGAATTCCCGTGAGTAATACGTACAAATTATCACAGGAAAGTATACCGTGAGTAGTTATAACTAGTTACGGTAGAAATTTCCCGTGACCTTTACAATTAGACACGGAGGTATATATTACGGTAACTTTCCCGTGACTGGAAGTACTAAACACGGGAAACGCACTTTCAAACACGGGATTCACCGTGAATAAATGATCTATTTTCTGTAGTGATTTCTGCATCTGAGCTTGCTTTTGCTTCTCTCTCCATGGAGTAACTGCCTCATTCATCTGGGTATGGAGAACCCTAGATTTGTATGTTAGGTCTGATTGTATGAACCCAAGTACAGATTCTGTGATTTGATTATATTCAATTGAGGTTTGATTTGTTGAATGGCATGAATCCTGATAAAATTCCTGTTGTTTCTGCTTTGACCTAGAAAGAGAATATCTGCCTAGGTTGATAGAGCACCCTTGATTTAAGGTAGGGAGTTGGTGACTTTAGGCGAGGAGCCAACTCACTATTCTGTACCGAATTCACTTCGGTAGTGGAGGTTTTGTTCATTAGGGCCTCAATCTGTTTACTCCGGTGGAGGTTAGTCGCCCACTGGAGACTCAGATTGAGAGGGTCTGGAGACCTTTAGTCGAGACTTCAGGCTGTTTAAGAACCTCCCGCAGTATAACTATCAAAGAAATTGAACTTGGTGAATTGCAATCCGGCTTAACTGCAGTCTAGGGGGAACCATATCCGGGTGACCTCTCTCGACTTGAAAACAACTGTTTAACTGCTTGCTTGTTTGTTAGTTTAGACCTGCACTAAAGTTTCACTGCTAGACAATAAGAATTCACTGAGTAGTCATCACATCTAGGACCCGAGTTGACATTAAAACCCAAATCTGCTATACTACGCTTTAGGAAGTGGTTACACTTGCCCATTTTCTAGAGTGACAGTAGGAGTGAGTCAACACCCCATCGAACTGGAGGATGTCACGATTCAGCAAGGTTGCCTGGACAGATTCAAATTATGGCCGCAACTTCATCAAGAAATTCAAAAGCCTAGTTTGCATTCTTTTGGCAATGGCATCTTCAGTGAGGGAAGCCTGGGGACGGAGGGCAGCATGGATAAGATCTTGCTCTGTCTAGAGCTCCTGCGCTGCATTAAAGTACTCATAAACGGTGCGTTCGCCTTGCTCTAGGCGAGTCAAAGCAAGTTATATCTCGAACTGTCGGGCTGCGTTCATCGTGGAATACATTAAGGAGAGATGGCGCCACATATGATTGGCGGTCGGATACAATCTAAGACTGAGACAAGTGGACGGATCCATGGAACCGAGCAACCAAGATCGAACCCGTGCATCATTTTGGGTCCAGGCTGCAACAGCTTGAGGAGTAGTTGCGGCTCCCTCAGGTTTGACCTGCGTCCCATCAAGAATATGGTGTAAACCTTTCCTTCCACGAACACCCGGAATTGGAATTCCCAAAGTGCAAAATTTGTCGAATTCAGACGAACGGAGGGCCGATCGGATTCAATTGATTGAAGCTTTGATACCATATTGAGAATTCAAAGACTGAAACGAAAATGAACACACTTATTTACGTGGTATCTCTGGAGATTCCAGGACTAATCCACGGAAGAGCTTGAACGCTCTTCAGCTACTGTTTTTACTGGAGAGATTCGGTGAACAATACAGTAGGTATCAGCTGCCCTATATCCCTCTACAATCTAACTCAAGTACATACGTCATTCTACTCTTATTCGACGTGGGCTGCATAGGCCAATCTGCCATTAATGCAATTTGCCCAATACTTCTATACTACACTACGTCATGTACAATAAACATGTTTAACACATCTTAGTGGTATCAATTGGTTCAGCGTCCCGTAACGATAGCTTGCGATAGTCTCCTACACAGGAGTATTCCTTGTTAAGGATACCCCAAACATAAGCACCCCCTCAAACTCCACAAGCACATCTTCCCCCAAACATAAGCACCTCCAAGGTGGCTCCCTCCCGGTCCTCTGCGTTTGCATGCACTGTCGGGTTGATCATGTAATGAGGCATATCTGGAAGGACTGCCCCGGGCTCAAGGCCGACATGACTTGGAATGTCGTACGGGTGCGACAACCGTTTGGGAAAGCTCTCCGAGAAAGGGTCATGGAATTCTTGAAAGATGCCAACTACGGAGCCAAGCTTGGCCACCCCCGTAAAGACCCCCCGATCTGCAAGGGTGAACACCCTCCCTACTTCCAGAACGTCCTCTTCAAATCTCACCAATGACACCACCTTCGTGCCCGAGCCCTGAGCTACTGACTTCGACATCAAAGTGTTTCGCTTAGGCACTAACACAATCTTCGCTCCCTCATACAGGAAGTTGTAGGTGTTTGACCAACCGTCATGCCGCACACTCCTGTCAAACTGCTTAAAGTAGCAAATTGTAATTAATCTTGTTTTAGTATTAATTACGTATTAGTCCTGATAGGGTTAGGAGGCTAGGGTATATAAGTTGTTAACCCTCTACTGCTGTAAACTAAGAATTCTGGACGTAATCTCTATACTACAGAATCTGAGAGGTTGCTCCTCTCCATGGATTAGTC